ACTCCCCTTTCGCGTCATTGCTCTCAGTATTGAAAGTGTAAATGAGATCTTTGTCTGGATTGTTCGAGGCCTCCGCTTGCTCTCTCGGATATTTATACTTGAAGACACTGACAAGCACTCCACCTTCTGTGATATCCGGGTTGTAAACAATGTCGAGTTCGACTTGCTTCTCTTCTGGTGTACATGGCACAACCCAAGTATTGTCTGCATATGGCTTGAGGTCCACTCCGGTACAGAAAGCGTCTTTCAATGGCTCCACGATATCGTCGTTGTCTTTGTCATCCCAGAAGTAGACGTCTAGGCGAACATCGCCGACTTGTCCGCCACTTGTCTTTTGTTTTTGGAGGTCGATGGCTTCTTCGGCGGAACTGGCTTTGTTGGCGCCTTCGTGGAGTGTGGCATTGAACCAGATGCAGCCCAGAGTGGAAGGAAGATATGCTGCTGCTGCCAGTATGGCGATGAAGGTCTTGGAGTGGCTCAGCATCTTGAGTTCAGTGAAGTGAATGTCGGTTTGAGTGTGACAATTGATGGTGCTTTGGCAGCTGTTTTTGACTTGAGAACTGACTTTCGGCTCTACTTGTCGCCAATAGTGATGGTCTTTATACTGCAATAGGCACTGGCATTTTCCGCTCACCTCCGGAGGATGGCTAGTCTAGCATGGCGGTACAAACATGCCTATCCCAACGTTACTTTATTGCAGTTGTCGCAACAATTGCCAAATTTGGTCGAGACGAGACCGTGCCCCTCAAGGGTAAGATCTTGGACCTGAGAGCTGACCAGGTGTTTCCGCGGCACCGCAGCCGGATACAGCAGGTCCAGGAGCAGAGGACAACGACCTGGATGGAAGACCTGGATGCAACACGTGCGCCTTCATGGCCAAAGGTAGTTGCAGGACTGGTATGGTATCTGCAAGTCGCCGAGCTGTCCTCCGCTCTTCGAAGAAATGCATAACAGCTCTGGTGGCCGAGGAGTCACCTCCTTTCCAGATCCAGTGGCGTGAGAGCGAAGTTGGTGTTTCTGGCAGTCTGGCAGGCACACCGCTGTCGCTGCTCCAGGAGCAAGGCTTGGCGTGCGGGCCTGAGGTGTCTGGGCGTGAGATACTTGACAGCAGCTCTTGCAGTAGCCGAGCAATTCTAGAACTAACAACTAACATGTTCGTTACTAGTCTCTTCGGAGGAACCTAGGGCTATGCTTATACAGCAATGCCGATCTGTGAGTAGCAACCCGCGGCCGCTCACCCTGTCGCCTAGACTACTCCTCGTAAACCACATGATTGATCAAGCTCCCTAAACCATGGCTCATCACAATCCGCACATCGTCTCCATGACGCAGAAACACCGGAGGCTGACTGCTGACTCCTATCCCATGTGGTGTCCCAGTCATGATCACAGTACCTGCCTCGAGCGTGGTTCCCTGGCTCAAATGCGGAACGATCTCCGCGATGGAAAAGATCATGTCATCCGCTCTACTCTCCTGCATGACCTTTCCGTTGAGCACGGTCTTGAGCTCGATCACACTAGGATCCGGAATCTCTCTGGCAGAAACAAGACAAGGACCGATTGGTGCGAAGCCGTCAAAACCTTTGCCATACCCCCATTGCGTGTTGCCTCCTGCAAACTGCCATTTGCGAGCTGTCACATCGTTGGAGCATGTGTACCCTAGCACGTACTCCATGGCATTCTCAGCTGTCACATTGCGGCATGCTTGGCCAATGACCACTGCTAATTCAGCTTCGTAGTCTGCCTGCTCATCTGTAGCTTGTCGAGGAATAACGAGGTCCGCATTGGGACCATTAAGGCAATTCGCTGGCTTGAAGAAGACTGACGGATATGTTGGAACTTCCAACTTCATCTCGGCGGCATGATGACGATAATTGAGTCCAATGCAGCGAATTGTCCCAACTTCCTGGCGGGATACAGGCGGGAGAATGGTCTTGGTGGTGAGAGTATGCCCGGTTGGATGTATGTCGTCCTGTAAAGTGGATGACCCTGAATATGTCTTGACTTGTATTGTTTGATTGCTCGCCAAAGCAGCACCGACTACTCAGAGATTCAGCCCCGCACATTCTGCAAAAGCGCATCTAATTCTCACCATCAAGCTCAGGATCGACAGGTTCGCCGATATGCTCAAGCTCATCTTCTGCGGCGATAAATCGCACAAGTCGTTTCCACGAAGCCATATTCGGGACGAAGACGACGATCTTGTGCGTGTTGCCGAGAGAATGTATTGTATGTTACACAGCTATCTCATTCTGCGAACATGAGTTGACTATGCTCGCAGAAGTGGAGCTACTTTCTGCGTGGGCCGGCCATCGATTAGGCGAAGAAGTTGCCCGATCGGGCTGCAAAGAGCTCTTTGATGTGATGCCACGGAATGCGTGAAGATTGCGAACATCAAAATGATTCTCCACTCATAGAGGTACTTATCTCGAGGTCGGCCAATTCTTTGGCAGAAGCGTGCCCGATAGGCCTGAGCCTGCTATCACAAAGGCTTGGCACAAACATATGCTTTGCTTAAGTGATGGTCGCCACCAATGTGTCTGAGGAAGCAAGCGCCTAACTGCACACTCCCAAAAATGGACGGCCATGATGAAAAGCAAGCCATCGATGTCGAAACTACTGCTACAACATGCGAGACGACCATCGACCCGGCGGCTGAAAAGCGGCTCGTGAGGAAACTGGATCTGTGGCTCTCACCCATGATGGTGGTAGTGTTCCTAGTGGCCTACCTCGATCGAAGCAATATTGGTGAGCATGTAATCGCTCATGTCTCTGCATTTTGTTGACACGTATCACATAGGAAATGCTGCCATCGCCGGCATGAACGAAGACCTCAACTTAACCGGCTCCCAATTGAATGTCGCAGTCACAGTCTTCTACGGTACGAACGAGGCTCTCCACTCCGAATCCCTCAACTAACACAACGAGGCCAGTCACATACATAACCTTCGAAATCCCCTCCTCCCTAATCCTCAAAGCCGCTCGTCCCTCTCGCCTAATCCCAGCCTTCATAATCCTCTGGTCCCTCGTAGTAATCGGAAGCGCCTTCATGAAAAACTACGCCACACTCCTCGCCACCCGCCTCCTCCTCGGAGCCTTCGAATCAGGCCTCTTCCCCTGCCTAACAGTCTACCTCAGCACATTCTACAAACCTACGGAACAAGCCCAACGAGTCTCCTACCTCTTCGTAGCCTCAGCACTCTCGGGAGCATTCGGAGGTCTACTAGCTTATGGTCTGACCCGTCTGAATGGAGCTCTAGAAGGTTGGAGATGGCTTTTTCTGGTCGAAGGATTGATATCCGTGGCTGTGGGAATCGCATGTTTCTTGCTCTTGCCAGATAATTTCGAAAAAGCCTGGTGGCTCAACGAAAATGATAAAAAGTTGATGCGGATCCGGAATCGTCAAGCTGCGATTTATCAAGGCGAGAGCGAGACGTTCGATCGAGAAGAAGTTAAGCTCGCTTTCAAGGATGGGAAAGTCTGGTTGAGTGCTTTTTGCCAGTTTTGTGCGAATACTTGTTCTTTTGGTTTTAGGTAAAATCTCACTTGCACCTATCTCAACTGCGTACATTTGCTGACGACGATTCAAGTACTTTCCTCCCCACCATCATCCGCGGCTTCGGATTCAGCAGCGTCAAGACCCAACTCCTGACCGTCCCAGTCTATATCTGGGCCTCGGTCTTCTACTTAGCAATCGCCTTCTTCTCCGATCTTGCCCGCAGACGAGCTTTCTTCATGGTCCCACTGGCTTTGATCACAGCAATCGGCTACGCTATGATGCTCAGCGTGGACATGCATAGAACAGCAATTCTCTACTTCGCGACATTCGTTACCGCAACAGGGATTTACTGTTGTGTAGGACTGAACGTCACTTGGAACAGTAATAGTAATGCAGGATATTACAAGCGCGCCACTGCCATCGGTCTACAGCAAACTGTGGGCAACAGTGCAGGAATTCTGGCAGGACAGATCTACCGAATCACAGACTCTCGCGGGCGATATGTCATCGGACACGGGGTGAGCTTGGCCGCGATCGTCTGCGCTGCTTTAGGGTATTGCGGTATCTACCTTGTGCTAAAGTGTATCAACGAGAGGAGAGAGAACATGGATATCGTTGAGCAGCAGAAATTGATAGATGCTGGGGTGAAAGGGGATCGTCACCCACATTTTCGCTACACACTCTAGGTACGTACAGTAAAAAATCTTTTGAGGCGATGAAGCGGGGTACAATCGAGCTTCCAGCAAAGACTCTCAGTATGTAACATCGCCTCCAATACGGGAAGCTTAAACCAATCCTTCGTGGAGGAGGTCCATGGGGAAGAGGGAGAGAGCCTTGGCCAGGCGGCGACGGCCATGCCGCCGAATTGGCCTGCATCGTCTGCTTGTTTTGAAATCCTCACATCCGCTAACGGCTGCCACTGGTCGCTTGGAATTACGCGTGGCTCGGAGGTTAGCAATCTGAGGTCATCGAAGCTACCAACTGCTCGATCTGGGAACGCTGTGGAGGTTGCCAGCGCTTGGTGTGAGAGCATCTCGCCACGGCTCGCACGAGATCGCCAAGGGCCCGAAAAATCGGAGGTGTCTCCATCTCCGCGTTATACTGTGTAACGGCAGATCCCCAACGAGTGGGCCGCCGATCTTCGATGCGCATGTAAATCAATCATGTAAGAATCGTCCACGGCCTGTCTGCTTGTCGTACCCAGTGAAATGCTTCCAGCCATTGCCATAAGCGCTTCCATATCAAATCCTGCTGCGCGGCGCTGAATCAATGTAGTGTGTGTTGGCGTTGTGATTCAAGCCGCTGGGCGCCATCCAGGTGGGTTGGGTATCGGTCGACCAGCACCTTCGGCCTCATTCACTGCAGCACGTTTGGAATCTTTACGCATCTTCATCTCCGCTCGTTCGAAAATTTCGTGCGTGTGGTCCCAAACGATCTTCTCCATGCCCATCTCGCGATGCTTTGACAGCACCGATTCATCTCCAGTAGATTTCCCGTCCCAGTCAAGTAAGTAGGCACCACCGCCCGGCTGTCCGTTCACTGCGCGCATAGCAGATAAACCTTCTGGAATAGGTATGCCAGCTCCTCCGTTCCGCGACGGGTAGCATTGACTTGTGATTTGGAACAAATGTCGCTCTCCAGATTCTTGTACGTTCAATATCCAGGGAGTCATGACTGCGTACATGACTTTGACGGCAAGTCGAACCGGTCCACTAAGTTCATTGGCGATTCCTGTCTTGACGGTTCCTGGATACGAGTGACTGAAAGATGTCCCGGGATAACGCTCTGCTAGTCCAGCGATGAAAAAGTCCGTCATGACGACACAGTGAGCCAGGCATGCGTGTAAAGTGAAATTGTGCTTCAGCTCGAGATCATCCACTCGCACGTCACCTTCGGATCCTGCAGCGAGCACAGAAATGACACGCGATAGTTCGCCTTCGTTGGAGGCCTTTTCCAAGCTTGGCATCATTTTCTCGATACATCTCATGCGCGCGTAGTAATTGACTGCCATCTTTCGATCGATGCCGTCGGGAGTCTCTGTTCGTCCTCGGAGAGTCATGTAACCAGCAGTCAGGAATAAACAGTGAATCTTGGGCTCCCGTTGGCGGAGTTCCGCACATAGCTCGTCAACATTTTTCAGCGCGCTGATGTCTCGCTGGATGAAAATAGCTTTGCCTTGGGGATTGATCTCATGTAGCTCATCGCAGATGCGTTTGCCACGTTCTTCGCTCCTGCATTTGGTGATCAGCGATCAGTGTCGAGAAGGCAGGGACTAGCAAAACGCTCACCTGCCGATAATGTAGGCCTTGGGACTCGTAGTGCGAAGGAACAACTCCTTAGCGGTGCTCTCTCCGATGCCTCCCGTCCCGCCTACAAAGATTGCGACCAGGCCCACGAGAGATTTGCACTTGGCATTGGATTCGCGTACTGTGTCGATGCGCACCATTTCAATGTTCGCGCCTGGAGAGTCTCAGTAAACGCGCAAAAATTCAGTGAGCGCAGTGACGGTGCGAAGACGTACCATACAAAAGGGACTCCATCAGAGAAGTGGCAGCGTGCATGTAGAGTGCTGCAGCGTCGACCCGCTTTCGGTAAAGTCGGGGTCTGACAAGGATGTTGAGGCAACGTGGATGACTGGCACTGAGGTCGTTTTGTTGATGTTATCGCCGCTTCACTTGGCTGATCATATCTTCGATGTCGCTGTGCTTCCAGTCGCTTCCGTCTGCGTCGGAGTGGCAATGGCGAACGTACCAGGGAAGGTGCCTAGAACGCGTCCGTCGAGAAGGCGCCGGCTCTCTGAGCATCTAGAATTCAGCCCGATGCGCCTGCTAGATTTGTTACAACAAGTTGCATGCTGGAAGGAGAGCCGTAGAAAGGGAGAGCGGACAGCATGCGCCACATATGTATTGGACTATGGCGCAAAGAATAGACTCGAAGCCAGCGATGGCGATGAATGCCGTGAAGACACGACTGCCAGGGCTTCGGTTCCTCAAGCCGGCCATATAGTAACAATTTCTGTGCCAGTGCTAGCCATATTATGGCGACTCACACGAGGATCCGGGCGTATATCCCTGCTTCCACCTAGCTGTCGCGGGCATAGTCAGAGCAAATCGTGCATGAAGAAGTGCATTTTGACGACGCCATGTGCGTCATGCCGACTTTTGGAGCACGCGGAGTAGGGCTCTCGCACCGATAAAGTGTGCCCCGTACGCGTTCCCCCCGCAGCACCAGGATAGCAGCACGATCGAGTGCGGTACAAGCTATATGTGGCACAGATAGGCACAGGCTTAGCGTTGTCCGTGAAAACGGCGAGCCGACACTGGTGCTCGCTGGAAGAGGGGTTTTTGCATTAGCTGGATGAGGATGCACACGATTTGATCACGAGTAATGAAGCTTCGCAATGCTACAGATTCTCACACGCTCAGTAGCAGGACATTTGCGGCTGTCGAAACCATCTGACCTGGCCTGGATAAGTATATGCCAGAACTTTTTCTGGGTCTGCAGCAAGGCAACATGGCAAGACGGCAGCAGTTGGAAAAGCCATAGTACTCCCCGGTTCAGCCGGACCCAATGCATATTCTAAATCTATTACATCTATCGCTCTTTCAGTTTTCTCGTAGCAAGAGCAGCCATGACTGAGCTCATGCTGCCAATAAACAGGCACACACCAATACCACTCAACCCTTCGGTAGAATGCACATCATCTGGATGTGCATCTTTGGCAAGTTCGGGACTTTTCCCCGGCTCTAGGATCCTGAATACGACAAAGCTGATGAACGTGCCTACGAATTGTGGAATCGTCGTGTAAATGTTCAGGATTCCAAGGTATATCCCACTGAGTTCCCCACTCTGTGAATGTGCTCCAGATTGGGAGGGCCGTCGGAGAAGCGAAGGCTCGTCCATTTCGAAGTCATTGGATGAGCGGCGACTGTTAGGTGTGCGTGTTCCTTTGGGACCACTTGTAGGAAGTGTGCTACCCAGTCTGTTGATCTCGACTCCGATCAAGGTAGCACTTGCAAACCCAGCGATAGCACTCGGGATACCAGCAGCTGCCATTAGGAAGGTAGCGAAGCGGACGGACTTGACCACTGGCGCGAATACCAGACAACTGGTAAACATTGCACATCCAAAGGTCCAGACGTCCAGGAGATGAGGCTTGATGAATGGCACTTTGGCGACCGCCTCAAGGCCCTTTGGTGGTCGTGGAGTGAAGGAGTGTGCTTTCTCGTCGTCACCGGGACTTGTCACGAGCGTCGGCAATATGATTGCCGTGACGAATCCGATCGTTGAGTGAATGATGAGCGCTGTGCTTCCCGCTCGCCCAACCTGGCTCAACGCGTCCGTTGATGATGGAGGAATGCCATCGAGACCGTGCCGCAGATAGATCTCTCCCACCCATGTACTGCCGTAGAACTAGAATCATCAGCGAATGTCAGATCTTGAGGAAGTATCATACCCACCATGAGGGGGAACCAGCCGATCCAAGACCAGAATTGCACATTGCAGATGTACTGAATGCGCTGCGGGACGTGCAGAGCTCGACTGTAAATTTGCTTGATGATAGCAAGCAAGCTTTGGTCGCTGTCCGTTGCACTCCTTGGATCTACAACCAGAACCTTCTCCGTCACAGCCCAGCAATTCACGCTGAAAGTGAACACCATCATGAAAGCCGCAAACGCGCAGACCTTCTTAAATTGAGTGTCCCCAAGCATGGGAGGAAGCCAGTAGTTGAGATCCAGAGCTCCAAACCCAAACACCAGAATATGCCCCAGCCCCACCATTCGTGTTATCCATGCTCCGCCTGTTTGCTGTTTCTCCACCGGCAAGGCATCGACCACGAGTGCCCGACACGTAGCTTGTGCGATGTTGATCACAAAGTCGAGAACATAAATATCGAAGATCGCAAGCCTGATCGTCAAAGCTCTCCTCTGTCCATATATCAGCTCTCATACCCTTTCCCTTGTCTTCAACCAAAACGTACTCTTTCCACAATCTCAGCCCCAGTACCAGGCACAAACCACTCCACAATCTCAATCGCCCATCCCAAAATCAACAAGCAGACCGCAACAGCGACTGTCCCTCCAATCATGAATGGTCTCCGTCTCCCATATTTACTCGTGCTCTTATCACTGATCATGCCAATGATCGGCTGCATGATCAATCCCGAAAGTGGTCCGGCAACCCACACCAGACTCATCGCTCCCTTCGACAACCCCAAAGCGAGAAGGTAAGGTGTAGCATAAGTCTGTTCCGTTCCCCAGCAGAATTGCAATCCTATCAGCGAGAAAGTGAGGAGGAACATGCGCATCGATTCGCTTCCGCCGCGGATACGTGGTTGACCCGTCCACGTTGTGGGCGAGTCGCCGTAAGCCATTGTGTGAAGGTGGCCTCACTGGCGGGGCGGGGGACGAGGTGGTGGAGTGACCCTATGTCTTTTTGTGTTGTTGTGAAGACTTGCTCCTCCTGATTATAATTCGGGGTCGTTTCTGCGCCAGCCAGAAATATCACAGGCGTCAGCAGGAAACCCTGCTGGCGGCAGTGCTAGGTAAATCACATCCGTGCAATGCTTGTTTGAAGCCCGACGCCCGCGACCGCGTAGAGCGTGCTGAAGCTATGGGGTCTGCACAAAGGCGTTCGGCAGAGTGAAAGGAGAAGTAGTGAGAGTGAAGTCGTTTGGAACAGATGGACAAGTTGTAGCTGCCATTGGAAGCTGTTAAGGTTGGCGGAAGAGTGCATGCTGCAGCCGCAACAAGCAGGGGTCTGGTTAAACGATCAAGCTGGAAATCAGGTAACCTGGCACGTGCTCCAGTCTTGTGCCAAAGGTTCAATAGGCAGCAGGAGATAACAGCAATTGATTATTGTGTAAGACGTCGTAGGTACGTTAGGCATGAGGCGAGTCGTCAAATTATATCCACCGCTCTATACAAATCCGCATCCCTTGGGTATCATCCAATGTTTCCTCCTCGACTGTAAAGTCTGGTTGCCCTCTTTCAGTGTATTCAAGCCTGTGTAGACACATGTCTAGGGTCCTCTATATAGGGGAGAGTCTGTCAAAAAGCTGGACAAGCACCCTCCCAACCATGGTAGCTGCGGCTATCGGCATGAAGATGGACACGAACTCGACCGGATTCCTCAGCTGCACCGATGTGTTGATGTATGGAGTTTTCGAAGCTTTCAAAGAGTCGCGCTCGAATTTGACCGCAGCTGAGTCGGCTCGGAATTTTCCTGTCTTCGCGAAGACTTCCATTAGTTCGTCCTTCTCCCGCCACCGCGCTACGATCCACTCGTAGAACGCATCCTTGTCGTCCAGCGGTAGGTCCAAAATCTTGAATCGTCTCCAGTGCATGTTCACGCTCTTAGGCGTGCGTCCTTGGAAATACGTGGATCGCAATGTGAAGATCTCTGCTCCGTACCGACCAGCGGGAACGCCTTCATATCCTATTGTGCAGTCGTACAGGTAGTCCACGCTTCCCTTCAACTCTTGCAAGCTGAACTGAAGCCCGGTGCTCCTTGGCAAGAGCTGATGCTTTAACTTTTCCTGTCCGGACTTTTCTGCGAACTTCTCGGACTGTGATCGCGTGTTCGCAGACAGATTGGTGCCTTCAGGGAAGATCAGCAACCACATAGGATCCAGCTGCGCCTTTCCAGATTGTCCACTCATCGGTCCCGAATGCCGAGTCTTGAGCTTCTGTAGTCTATACCTCATTCTCTCTTGATCTGTAGCCCATTTTCGTGCCATGAAGATGAACCCGTAGAGCTGCATAGCTGGCCCTATCATGGGCACCCACTTGAGAGAGTCCTTCAAGATGATATAAATGTGTCCATGCATTGGCATCGCATTCGCATATGCGATCCACCACAGATATAGCCAATCCGTATACAGTTGATGGTTCGCCATCAACACCGCTCTATCGCCAAAGTTCGTTTGTACCATTCCGTGCGCATCCTGGAACAATAACCCTTCAACGCTCTTATCTCCAGAAATGCGAACGACGGTCGGACTCCACCACTGGGTCATTGTGGTTATGAGCAGGCCGAAAAATTGCTTCGTCAAAGCCATATAGGCATAGAACCAATCCTTGCTTATGAAGTAGAGCGGAAGTCCCAGGAGCTGCGTCCCGTGAATAGCGAGACACGATCCAAAGAAGTAGATGCCGAAGCCCACAATGCGCAGAATCTGCATGAGCGCGCCATGCTTAAGAGGCGGAATAACGTGGAAATCGGATGCGCTGGTGTTGCCATTCAAGAGGGCATGCTCGGTCGACTGCGCTGCAGCCTTGCGCTGCTTGAGTTCGCTCATGGCCGCGGGCGGGGTGGGTAGGATGTGCGGAATGATCGGCTTCTGCTCTCGAAGCAGGCAGGTCGAGGTGGTGTGTTAGATATTCTTTTTCCCAGCGTCCCCGCTGTGTAGATAGTAGCTAGGTCATGTCTCGTGAATGAATCAGGCGACAGAGTGAGTCGTCTGAAGTAGTTTAGCACGTGGAGCTTTGTAGTCCAGAATGGAACGCACCTGTCAGCAACAGCAAAGCAAACAATGACGCCTTCCTCGGCTGGCGCCGCGGGCATTCACATGCCCACTGGTCTCCACGCCCGAGCTTGCGAAATGACTAAGGAGAGTGACTGATCTCAGCTAGGGAGAGTGACCTGAATCAATTCGCATCAATTCTGAATCAAAGCCGTAAAGCACTTCCTTTCGAGGTGCACTGCCGCCTCTCTCGCTCTCGCGCCTTCGGCTCGAGCTCGTTCGTCGCCTAATAGAAATAATACTATCCTTTTAAGGGGCCTATGCCTCACGCGCTCGGGTATCGTACGTCGTCGCTATT